GCCCCCTCCCCATATTTATTTTCATAAAAATATTTTCAGTACTTTTTGAGTTATCACTGGATCAAGTTTTATGTGTTAAATTGCCATATTTTCAGACTATTTGTTGCCATAGCAACCAGAATTTTCAACATAGGAAGAAAAGAAAAAGATGTGCATAATCTCCATACTGCCATCTATCCATATATCAAGTTTCATAAAAATATTTTCAGTACTTTTTGCGTTATCGCGGGATCCAGTTTTGTGGACGGACGGTCTGACGGACTGACAGACAGACGGACAGACAGACAGACGGACGGAGGGTAAACCTAAAGTCCCCTCCTGTTAAACCGGTAGGGGACTAATAAGGGCATATTTTAGGGCAATATTTTGGAAATTTTAGGGCTAAAATTAGGAATTTTTTAACTAAACTATGCAAAAGACCATGGTATGGGCTAACCTTTGCTTATTTGACACAAAAGTTTACACAACAGTATAAGTCATTTGGCCACGTTCCAGCTATACTGCTGGAGGAAGACCTGAGGTGCCCTTCCGTGCACCATTTCAGGCACAATCGGGCACCTGAGTAGAACCACCAACGTTCCATAAGCTAGCTGGATAGCTTCCTCACATGAAAGAATCCAAAGTCCCTGTCAGGATTCAAACCCACAGTGGTGAGGGGCAAGTGGTTTGAAGTCAACGACCTTAACCCCTCGGCCACGGACGCCCCGACACAAAAGTAACTCACAAATAATGCTCTAGTTAAGTTAGAGCAAAGGTGTCCATACCAGTGTTCCATAGTTATCAGTGAATAAATAGACTCACTGGTCAACTGCCTCCCTGCGGAAATCATCAGGTCATAGTCAAACCATGTTCAAACCATATTTGAAATATGTTTTTTCAATGGCTGAACATGTCAAAAAGAACATGTTCTACCTAATGTTTTAGGAATGTTATAACCATTAGTGTCTAAAAGGAAATTGTTTGTACAAGTAGGAAGTGAAAAGGCATTGGCCTTAGCACAGTCATTTGAACAAATGGGAAGCATCTGTAATCAACAACAAACAGAAATGCACATCAAAAAACTTCATCACGCAGACCATTCAATTGCAGTCTATCTAGATCATATAACTGCAATTGTATGTACATGGAAATTGGAAATTAGCTCTATATTAGTGAACTGCCAAATTGTTTTTAGTGTGATTAATTTAGGAGTCTGCATTTTCCTGAATTGCACCATATGAATGAAAGAAACAAGTATTGAATAAAATTGAAAACTTTGTGGCAAAAATGAGCAATTTCTCCTACATAGGCATCTGAAAGGATAAATTAGTAGCTTTGATTATGAAATAGCAAAAGTAATGGACATAAGTTAAAGTCTAGTTGGAACAAAACCATTTCAATGTCACCAATTTTGAGTTGGCAAATCAATGCCAAAACATTTTTTAGCATGTTTAAAACAAGGTTGAACTTTGTTATGTCTGTGATCATTTCTGCAGGGTCTAACTGCCTACTCTGAATAATGTCTGCTGAAAACCACATTAAAACATAATTTAAACTAGAACTATCACTAAATGTGATTAATACCCCCACAAGACTGCTTCGGAAATGAGGATGTTACTAGTAACAGAATACCTTGTAAAAGAATTGAAATATAGAGTTATGGTTGTGGGCAATTAAAGATAGTTGTGGTTCTTATATGTTGCATTTCCTTTCAATGTGGTTGGCCATTGATGAAGTTTAATTGAATTACTCTGTAATTGGCCATTGATGAAGTTTAATTGAACTAGAACTATCACTAAATGTGATTAATACCCCCACAAGACTGCTTCAGAACTGAGGATGTTACTAGTAACAGAATACCTTGTAAAAGAATTGAAATATAGAGTTATGGTTGTTGGCAATTAAAGATAGTTGTGGTTCTTGTATGTTGCATTTCCTTTCAATGTGGTTGGCCATTGATGAAGTTTTATTGAATTACTCTGTAATAAGTCCAGAAAGACAAAGAAAAAGGAACAAAGGGCAATAACTCTATAAATACTGAAGATAGAGTTATAGTTCTTGTGCACTGCACTTCCTCTTATTATGCTTGAACATTGTATGAAGTTGTTTTGAATTCCAACCAGTACGTTTTAAGTTATGCCTCACTGACAAGGAAAAGTATCAAAGGGCAGTAACTCTGTATTTTGTCAAAATGGAGTTATGGCTCTTGTTCACTGTACTTCCTTTTAATGTTCTTGACAACTGTATGAAGTTGTATTGAATTCCAAACAGTAATTTTCAAGTTATGCTCTAGACAAGGAAAAGTAACAAAGGGCAAAAACTTGTAATTAGTCAAGATGGAGTTATGGTTTTTGTGCACTGCACTTTCTCTCAATGTGCTTGACCATTGTATGAAGTTATATTGAATTCCCAACCTATTAGTCTTCAGTTATGCTCCGGACAAAAAAGCAATGGAAAAGTAACAAAGGGCAAAACTCTGTAATTAGTCAAAGATAAAGAGTTATTGTTCTTGTGCACTGCACTTTCTCCTTAATTGTGCTTTGACAATTGTATGAAGTTGATTTGAAATTCAAACCAGTAGTTTTCAAGTTATGCCCCGGACAAAGGAAAAGTAACAAAGGGCAATAAACTCTGTAATCAATCAAGATGGAGTTATGGTTCTTGTGCACTGCACTTCCTCTCAATGTCTTGACCATCTGTATGTAGTTTATATTGAATTCCAACTATTAGTCTTCAAGTTATGGTCCCCGGACAAAAAAAAGCAATGGAAAAGTAACAAAGGGCAATAACTCTGTAATTACTTTAAATAGAGTTATGGTTCTTGTGCACTGCACTTCCATTTAATGTTCTTGACAACTGTATGTAAATTGTACTGAATTCGAAACAGTAGTTTTTTTCAAGTTATGCTCTAGACAAGGAAAAGTAACAAAGGGCAAAAACTCTGTAATTAGTCAAGATGGAGTTATGGTTTTTGTGCACTGCACTTTCTCTCAATGTGCTTGACCATTGTATTAGTTATATTGAATTCCAACCATTAGTCTTCAAGTTATGGTCCGGACCAAAAAAGGCAATGGAAAAAGCAACAAAGGGCAATAACTCTGTAATTACTTTAGATAGAGTTCTGGTTTCTTGTGCACTGCACTTCCCCTTATTGTGTTTGACAATTGTATGAAGTTGTTTTGAATTCCGACCAGTAGTTTTCAAGTTATGCCACGGACAAGGAAAAGTAACAAAGGGCAATAACTCTGTAATTAGTCAAGATAGAGTTATGGTTCTTGTGTGCACTGCACTTCCTCTCAATGTGCTTGACCATTGTATGTAGTTATATTGAATTCCAACCATTAGTATTCAAGTTATGCTCCGGACAAGGAAAATGCAACGGACGTTCTGGACCGACCGACCGACTGCCCGACCGACCACCGGGTCACTCCTATATACCCCCCCAAACTTCGTTTTTGGGGGTATAAAAACAGAAACTGTATTAGCTTACATCATACTTTTTATCCCACAGATCAATTTGGAGAAGGCTGCAGAGGCATGAGGACGTATGCCAGGAAGTGAAGGCAGATGAGTAAGAGTCCCAGTGTATGTTTGAGGTGAGGTGCAGACTGAAAGGAATCAAGAAACATATAAAGATTAAGTGGAATCAATGTATTGTTTTGTATGTTAAACTTGCTCAAATTGCACTATTATGATGATTGATCTAAAAGAATACCCTGATTTTCCATATATTTTAAGAAGAAAGGTCCATTGCATAAATTATAGTCTTAAAATAGCATAATTTTTTCCAAGTACATCAATTTTCTTGTATTTTGTTGCAAGTCAAAAGAATTGTGCATTGTTGCATTTTTGAAAACAAAAAGTCTACACTAGTTTTACTTATATTTCATTTAATTATTTTAGTTTTGATGATGCAACTCGGTGTTTACATCTGCATTAAATGTATTAAATGCAGATAATGCAATAAGTGAAGATAATTCTCCACAACCAGTATATCATACCAGTCCACCAATTGACCAAACCAGAGTCCAACATCTGGGAGGGAAAGTGAACTGGCTGGAGATGCAGCTTAACCAGGCTTGGGGCTGCATATATGAATTGCAAAGAAATGTGCAATGGTTGAGTCAATCTTGCAATCAGGTAAATATCACATCCTATTAATTTTTCTGATAAAAGTACAATTTCAAAATAAGATTAAAAGTCTTAGACTCGTATTTTATAGGACTCAGTATAACAGTTAATTAACACACAAGTTCTAGAATACAGTTTTAATCCAAAACAAATTCTGCAAAAGGCTACAACTTCTTACTTCCGATTTCATTGTAAGTAAGTGGTCTTTAACTTGGAGGTTAATAGCAGGACACAGTAATCCATACTAGACTGTATGCTACTGTCAGTACACTTTTGTGATCAATAGCAATCTTTAAGTTATTTTTTTGTAATGCTGAGCAGAGTTAATAAACATACTTTTTAAGGTATGATTTCCCTAATGGGGACTAAAAGGAACTGAAAAATAGGTCAGTTGTATACTTATATGTTGTTTGAACCCACACAGCTAGTGATCCTTAGATTACTAGTCCTGTTAACCATGCCGCCTTTGAATTTGTTTCAAATTAATAATTTTTTTTATCATAATATTAGAATATGAAAATGATATTTTAGAACCAAGCAGTTGCCAGTCAATCAGCTCAGGGAAATGAAGACGTGGATGTTGTAAAGGTAATAAAGCTTTAACTATTGTGGCTTTACTTTAAAAATATAGGTGCCTGCAAAATTGTTATTCAAATTAATATTTTTTATTTTAAAGCATTTATAATATATTAATAATATTAAGTAGCATATAGTTAAAGGGATCATGATACCAATCTCTAAGTATAGTTTGCACTTTCCCCAAGTTCTCATCACAGCATTAATTGTTAAATGTAATATGGTGTGATTTTTTCCAATTTTGTTTAAAATATTTCAATAATTTCCCATTTCTACATGTGTTATTTCAGGTTAATCCAGAGAGCACAGAAGCCAGCAGTCAGGAAGAAAGCTCTACAGTTCATCATCCTTCAGACACTTTATATAACAATTACAAAAAGGTACTTATGGTTCTGTTGAGCTAAAAATGTAACAGGAAATAAGTCTTTCAAAAGGTATATAATTCTATATTTGGTATTTTTTAAATTTGTTTTTCAATTTAAAGATATGTAGCAATGGACACATCCACAGAAATTGGTGTTCACAGTCATAGATGAACAAAAAACTTCATAGTGGAGATTTCCTTATATGTGCCAGTATCTTGACTTCAGGAAATAACTATGGCAAACTTTACTATGAGCCATGATGCTAGATTTAAAATTTCCTTCTGCAGACCAGTTTCATGAAATTCAAGCAACATATATGGTACCAACAGTTGATAATGGAAAGACCATCAGAAGTCAGTTATTGAATCTTTCAGTGGAAAGCCAGTTGTTGTTATGGGTGGGTGTCTTTAATTACTCATGTCTTGAAATGTATTCTGTATACATTTTCTTTTTCTAAAAGAACAAGGAAATAAGTTTTTTATGTAACTAGTGTCATTTGTAACTTTGGAAGGTTGGACTAGGGACTAGGATTTGTATTTATGATGAATATGAATAATAAATAAGCTGTTTCAGAATGCAATATGTACAGTACGTACATTTTGGTTAAACATTAAAATTTCCTTTTATAGGGGATGGAAGAAATGTATTCTCCTGGGCACTGTGCCTAATATTGTTCGTACAGTCCACATAGGCATACGGGAGATATACTTTGAATATTTCGGAAGAGATGGGAGAATTGTTCTCTCTGCTGGATTAGTCCCCGATCTGCAGAGCTTGTTCTTAAAAGGGGACACCACATGTGAGCAAGTCAACCATACCATACCATGTATCTCTGTAAGTTGATATTTTCAAGTATTTTGACTTCCTATCGGTAAATTTTATATACCAGTTTCGCGTCTCATGCCGAGTGATGCTCTGAATTATTTAATTTGATTCTGGCGGAACTTTAAATTTTAATACAGTTACTTAAAGGTAAAGATTTTCAAAATCTTAAAATAGGTGAGAATGTTTAACCACATAGCCCCTTTTGTGGACACCGTGCACAGAGATCGCATAGCTTGACCAGCGAGCTTACTCATCAGTGCAAGGCTTAACAGAGCCAAAGTCAGTCTAAGAATTTTCAGAGTTAAAACTTGATTGATATTTTGTTTTTACAAGGATAAATAAGATTTTTTAATTGGAAAACATTTTTACTTGGGAACAAATCTATCACTGGTAAGTTATGATTTCATACCTTTTTTCAGAATTCAGTACATAACCGATAATTATAAGAATCCTTTGTTCTGTCGAAACATCTGTTTTTTTAGACAAGATGTCTACTCATTTCCGTAAAGGAAGCATTGCAAACTGACAAAAAGTTACTTCGAAAAAAAAAAAAATTAACCATGAAACCTCTGGCAGTGACACATCATTTGAAGACAATGACTAAGAAAATACAAATGTTACCAATAATGCAGCAGATGTAGCTGCTTTATTTTCTGACAGACAGTCTGAACCTGATGAGGAAGAAGAAAACGATGATTATCTGCAAGATCTAGATAATCAATTTAAAGAAAGAATGGAAATGGGGGAGAAAGTGTCAGAAAAGATTGCTGGATTTACAAACAGAGGGCTTCGAGCAGATCCGCAAGAACAAATAATGAAGCAACTAAGGGAAAAACACAAAAGACCAAAAACTCTGTCTGGTCCCAGTTATTAAAGCTTTGGACCACTGTATGAGTATCAAAGACAGTTGACAGAGATTGAAAGACCTATTAACCCTTTACTTCATAGAAGCTTGATGTGACATGTTTATCTATTCCTTCTCAATATTGTGATATGACGAGAAGATTTTTTAAGATTTTTGTTCTTCATGGACCAACACATGGACGACAGACAATTGGCCATCACAAAAGCTCACCTTGAGGACATTGTCATTGATAAAAACACTAAAATTTGTATTGTTACAATTTCTTTCTTTTCTGTTAAAGAAATTGATATGATTTTTATGCAAAGTAATATGAAATATATTTGCTTAGGAAGATTAAGTGCTTTACAGTAATTGGCCTCTCACTTCACAGTAAATGGCCTATGAATCATTTTATCTACTTTTGTATCTAATATCTTTCGGTATCAAGGAGGCTGCCGGTCTGCCGTCTCTAATGTTTGTCCGGCAGTCCGGCAGGGCACTCATATATAAGGGCTGAACAGAGCAAAAGAAAGGGAGAATTAGTTAGGGGTTAGTTAGAATTGGTCAGGAGTTAGTCGGAGTGAGTCAGAGAATTTGGTAAAAGATTGAGTATGAGTTTTTAGGATATTTTGTGTAAATATGAATGCTTGTGAAAATATAATTATAGTAGAAGACTTTGTCCTTCTGTTGTGTTTTATTAACTCGGCTTCAAGTAAATGAGGAACTTATTTAATTAACATGATATTTGCAACAAGGTTTAGCCTTTGATTGCTACCATCAAAGGGGCGATTTTGTTACAGTATTGTAAATACTTAAAATAAATATATATATAGAGAAAACAAGAAATATCAGGACAAGTAACTGTTTTGTTATCACAACAATAAATCCATTTAATAAAGCATCCAAAGCTACAATAGCTACATGGGTTAAAAGTGTTCTAAAAGCATCTGGTATAGACAGTAATTTTAAGCCACATAGCAGAAGATCAGCATCTACTTCAAAAGCAAAGAAAGAGGGAGTGAAACTCAATCACATATTAAAATGCTGAAGGTTGGACAAAATTCTATAAAAGAGATGTTGTGGAAATACCATTTGAAAAGTTTCAAAATGCTATTGTGACAGATGTATAAAGTTTGCTTATTAAAAAACTTTGTACAGTATAATTGTTGTTGATTGTTATTGCAAATTTGCAGAAATTGCTCTAAAATCTCGTGTGGGGCTCTTAAGGGAGTTATGCAGTAGATGAAATTGAATAATTAACCGAGACTTTACTTTGTAGATGGGAAGTTGAAGGTTGATTGGAATTTCACCTACTGCAAACTCCTTAACCAACAAAATATATTTATATTCCTTATAATTTTCTAAGTGAAAGGTTTTTTTTGGAACCACCAATACAAGTTTTCAACTTTGAGAAGACAGTAAAGGAATGGAAGGATAGTAACAAGCACTTACAGGCATCTCCTTTTATATAGTATGCTACAAACACAACAGCAACAGCATACAATACATTAGTACAACCACCATACCAGGGTCTTGCAGGAGCAAGTAAAACATTATCTTTATATATAGCTTAACATCGTGTTATTTTATGCATTACAAATGAGGGAGTATACATGCCTTTTGTGTGGGCTCGACGGTACGTACAAGGTAGTGTACTGCCACATATACAGTATTCAAACTAGGGAAAGACCACCTCATCTTTGTTCCTGCAGCTATGCACAAAACTCATCAAGCACCTCAAGAAGAGAGATATCTGTCAAAGGGTTGGCACTAGCAACATTATAGTTCCAGTTCCAGGTGGAAAGGTTATACAGAAAGCGCCAAGGGTGAAAGAGGTCAGTACAATGATCGAAAACACACAAGGCAGCCTAGAAGAGAGGTACATGTATCATGCACTGTTGAACCTGCTTCTTGTACCAGCTCTGGATGTTCACACTCACCAAGCCATCTCTTTCTATGACTACTTAGAAAGTAAAGCAAAGGAAGAAGGGAAGTCATGGATCTGAGACATCCCACCACCAATCAAGAGTTCAAGCTGAACCATTACCATCAGCAATTCATTTTTGGAATTGTGCAGCCGAGGACTCCATCTCAAAGTACAATGAGCGTTTTTGTGTTTAAGGCAAACATCACCTTCCTTTCAGTTGTACAGTTACAGTCCTTTTTTGACATGTCAATTTCAAAAAAAAATTTAAATACTTAAATGAAAGTAACATTACCATAGTGATACAAACCATGTCATTTATTTAATAAGTAAATATCTAAAAGAAAATGTATATACTGTATATTTTTGTTAAGGTATTGATTTTTGTTAGTAAAAAAATTTATGAATATGTGTGATTATTTATTGACTTTTTTGTCAACTTAATAGTTTTTCTGAGATTAAGAGTTAAGATTCTCTGAGAAACAAGACCATCCATTTTTATCAGTACTAGATCCTAACACACAGAGTCATAGCCAGGCACAAGGAACATTCAAGTACCTGGCAAGTCTTCTTCCAAATGTCAACACTGTAGAAGAGACTGGTCATCTTGACATGGAGTGAATGCTTTTTAATGTTGATCAACAAGTCGGTGACCTTAGAGGCAGATATGATAAAAAGAGAGTGGATTCAGGTTTTTGGTGCCATGTTGGAAAATTTAAGACATCTGACAATCCAAGGTACCCTGTATTGAACCACCTTGTTTGCGCAATCTTAACAGCATTCAGTGGCCTTTTATTGAAGGCACCTTCAATATAATGGGGGACATCATTGAGGAGGAAAGATCAATGACAGCCATTGAGAATAATGAGGTTGTTGCATTAATAAAAACTGCTTTAAAAAGAAAGAAAGTTAAGTCCCATAATCTGAAAGTTACACCAGCAATGAAAAAATGTGTAAAAAGTGCCTACAAAAATTATCGAAAACATCTAATCAACAAGAAAGAACAAGCCGTGAGAAAAAAGCAGGAAAAATTGAATCATTCTATTTAAAAATTGAAGTTGGGAAAGGCTAAGTGCCAAGCTCAGTTGGCAAAATTGAAACAAGATTGCATTTGTAAAAAATGCTATGCCACCGCATAAATACAACACTAAAATAGTAA